TTTTTTTTTTTTTTTTTTTCCACGTCCGGTTAAAATGTTAAATTATCGTTAATTTCAATATTAATAACAATATCGTAATGTGCACCTGTCGACATACGAAACGATAACAGATAGATAATATAGCAATAGCAATGCGTGGAGAATAAGAACGAAAATAGTGGATTAGAATTAATTTTTCATAAGTCCGTTGGATACAATAAGGGATAAAAGATTAAAGTGGGCCGGACATGCTTGGCGAAGCCCTTGGCCGCGTATAATATTAGAAAAGAATCCAACGGGGAAAACGCCACCGGGAAGACCTGGTATGGGATGAGAAGATCTGGTTAAAAACACGTTAGTGCCTTGGATAGATTTCAAGGTAAAATTCGTAAAACGTGTTTTTAGCGAATTCGGCGGCTTTTTTTCAACGGGTTACAACCTCCGAACCGCCCAAACCGCTACTGATAGTTTCTGTACGGTATCCTGACAATAGAACGAAAAGCAAAAGAGCGAAAACATAGAGTAAACAATGCATCGTTTTAAGTTTTGCACAAACATTTCGTGGTTTTTTTTTTTCAACTTTCGTCTGATAAATATTTTATGTGGGCCGAAGACATGATATATAATATTATATAGGTACAATGGAAAACGTTGTAAGCGTTCTTTTCTTAGCGAAATGTTATTTTAGGATTCAATTCGAAATCACGAACGGGATTACGGGCAGTGTAACGGTGTATAACGGAAATGCATTGTATGCCTTTAAAGACAACAGAATTCGGAGGACATTAAATATAAGTAGTACGAGTCAGGAATGAATAATATGAGGGAAAAAAAGACGTACAGGGATTCGGCCGGATGGATTCAAATATTACTAAATACGTACGACAAAAATAATAATTTTTATCATACATTTTAATTTTAATTTTTTTTTTATATTTTCTATGATTTTTTATTCGCCAATTTTTGTTTTTCAATTGAATGACTTTCGCTGTTTCGTATTCGATATTTCGTGTTCGATTTTTTATTTTCGCTATTTTGGAGATGAGACTCTCTGTGCGTAGTTTTCAATCAAGTCGTTGTATTTGTCGTACAAGACCCAAGTTTTCAGGCATTTTCGGTATATTTTAAAAATAAAAAAAGTATACAAGTTCTAACAATAAATAAAACAGTATTGAATATTCGTAAAAAAGGACATTTTTACTTTAGCATGTGCGGGCGCGGTATAAAAGTATTATTTCTAAACGACACCGCGGGTTACGGAGAGAAAATAAAAAAAAAAAAAAAACCAATTATATACCCGACGGTAGAACCGTTTTACGGTATAGAAAATTCGAGCTGAAACGATTCTTTTCAAATACATTTCTATAGTAAAAGAATTAGTAAGTGTATTTATTTTATTTTTCTTTTTTTTTTTTCTTTACCTGTTTTCATCCATTCAGTAAAAACGTCGAGTCACGTGCGAACACGCGAGTTTTTACTCGACGAAGCCGAAAAGTACATAAAGTGCTGCCGGACGCGCAAAATATATAAAACGGCTTATCGGCACAATATTGGTCGGTTTTGAAGTTATTGGCTTACGGCGCCGTGTAAAAATATTATTCCGGCGGCCGCGCGATAAACGTTTTGTGAAAAATTTAACGCGCGTTCCGTTGATCCGGTCGACAATCTAATGACGGTCTCGTTAAAGAAAACTCGAAAACTTGCCGGCAGCAATAAACACAAACGGAATCGTTGTTCGACCCGGAACGCGATTATGCGTGCGTATTGTGCCATAGCGCCGCCCGTCTTTAGATTGCGCGGGGACGGTCCGAGTGACGTCGCGTTAATTATAATTGATAACGTTGACGAGTTCTCGGTAAATAGTTTTTTAGGCGTGCGTGCGTGCGCGTGTGCGCGGTGATGTCTCCGTCCAGCGAACGCGCGCACTAACTACTGGGCGACGTAGCGAATCCGCGTGCGCAGCGAAACCGGTTCCGCGCTGTTAGTTTAGACTCTAAAACTAACAGTTTCGATTCGCTCTGAACTTCAGAGCGAATCGGCCAGTAAACTGAAAGGCTCATCGGACAGCAACGCGACGGGTCGGATTTTCGCGAGACCGTTTAGAAGTAAGATAAAAACCCATTTGTCTGTCGATACACTGTCGCACGGGAATCGCGTTGTTTTCTTTTTTTCCCGGGCCTTTTAACTAGCAAATGTTTAGCGACGTTTCCCGGACGTCCAAACGGGCTACGTAAAATCCGAAAATCACCACAGCCATTCTAACGGCCCGCCAACGAAAAGACTTTCCCCGCAATATCCTACCGTCCGACGCCCGTCAACTGATAAACAACAACGTTCTACAGCCGTGCAGTCGGCGTTGAACGCGGATTTTTTTTTTTTTTTAATTTGATTTCCAATACCGGTATGGTAAAACAGAAAGCTTAACATTGACTTTTGCGCATCGCGGCGATACGAGCAGTTTGAGATAACAGCGTATTAACGTTATCGTAATTGCCCACGAGTATACAGGTTGACAAATCCTCGATAAAGCACTCATTGTATCGGAGTTTCTTCTTTCTTCGGATTTTTTTTTTTTTTATAGACAATTAAAGAAACAAGTAGTTCTGAAATGTTACATCGCCGTTATCTATTGTGATTCCTATTTGTGAGGTGAAATCACAATAACCACGTTTAATTTTCAACCGGCAACCCGTATCGAAATTCCATAAAAAGATAAAGTTTTTGTTTGGATCCGGGCACATTTCGTTTTAAAACTTAAAACATTGTACGTTTACACGCGATTTCCGCGTAGATGAAATAATAATATATTGCATACATTTTGGTTTAGATTCTGAGCGGAGCCAGGAACCTATTGGTTTTACAATGATGTTTATTTTCATCATTATAATTTTAATGCGAATACTTTTTCTACCTGAAAGCTTATTCTATCAAATACGGCACTTTTTCTGAAAGGAACTTTTCTCTTGGTGGTACTATATAGAGGTAATTTTTCGAAATTCTCATTAATATTCGAAATAACGAGGAAAATCTGGTTCTGCAGTTTAAAAAAAAATCGAAAGATTAAAAATAATGCTGTCATCGGCAAACGTTTTTATTTATTTTTTGTTATTGAGTCAATTATTTTAATAATCTTTTTTTGAACAGTCATTGTTGTCATGGAAACGCACATCGTTGAAAAAGCAATACTGTAGACCGCCCTATATTAAAATAAATTAAATTTAGATTTCAATACATTCTTTTAACAGTTAATCGTTGTATTATATTTCATTATTCTGTACTTGATCATCGCTATCAACTGAGTTCTGAGTTCAGAATCGTTTTATCATTACTTACTAGAGATATACGTTAAATTTCCTCCGGTGTCCTGCTTTCCCGACTTTCCACATAGACCAGTGACCGCGCCCACATGCAGCGAACTAT